TAATTAATTAATTAGTATATATATATATATATATATATATATATATATATATATATATATATATATCTCTCATTTTTCTTCTAATGTTTGTTTATACAAGACTAGCTTTAGACCAGCGATAATAAATCACTGAATATCTCCGATGTCAATGCAAATATCTTTTATGCGAACCGACTTTGTAGATAATATCCGTTATTATATTGCGCAACAAGCGGAGGCATTTCAAATATTTCATTCATTCTCGCGTTTAATCGCGATATAGCGATCCATACAAGTGGCAAGTGCGACAATCAATCGAGAATTGCCCACATACGGAAGGGTGGAATTCGATGGAAATCGACGAAAGACGGCATCCTCGCGCGCAAATCGGATCTGTCAAGGAAATCACGCGTGCGGCACGCCGTCGATGGCTAGAGGGTGGAAAGGTGGTAAAGCAGGAAATCTGACGAGAGGAAAGGAGTTTGCACGATTGTTAATCCGGACGACTTAATGCGAGAACCAGAGGAGAATGCAGAGACCTGATACGCACGTCCAAAGGCAGTGGGACCCGCTTTCCCGTTGACCATTGGGGGTAATTATCGTGAAACCCCGGGGAAAGCTCTCTCACGCTCGTATCCCTTCCGGCTAGCTAGCCTGCGGAGACTCGCGAGCACGTCAAATCCCGGACCCTCCCCTTCAAAGGACCTACGGCATCGAGTCGTGCATACGCTGTATCGCGACGGCAATAACCGGTAATTTTTCTGCAGCGAGATTCTTGCAGCTCCAGCCAACCGCTGCTCGTTGTTGCTCCTCTCCCTCGCCTCATCCTCTCCCTTTCGACCCCTCGCCAGGGGTGCCCGTTGTTTCCGAGCAGCGCGGAACAAGTAGAACACCTCTTCCGGAGGCAAACTACGCTAAATAAAATCGATTATTGTAAAAAAGAGAGTTACATCTTGACGCAATTGATTTTTGTGCAAGAATCGATGGCTCGAGAAATTCACGACTGGCGCGTAGATGAAACATTTTTTCATTAATAAACGAATCATGTGAAGGAGATATCTCGAAGAATTTAACAAATTACTTCTTCTCTAATAAGTTTTTCTCAATTAATTTTTTTCTTTTTTTTAACGTACAATCACATTCATATGTATTGTAAAATTCTAATCATCCTGATGATTAGGTAAAAATGCATTATATATATATGTATATATATATATATATATACATATATAATATATATATATATATACTATATATATA